ATCCAGCCCTGGGCCTCAGGAACTGGAGAAGGGGGAGAGGAGGATGTGGACTGTGCCCCCTGTGGCTGTGGCCCTAAAGCCAGTGTTGCAGCAGAGCCGGGAAGCAAGGGAAGAGCTGCCTGGAGTGCCGCCTGTTCTCTGCAGCCCCTCCCCAGATCTTAGCCTCTTGCTGGGCCCCACTTTCCAGAGCCAGCATTCCTTCCAGCCCCTGGAGCCAAAGCCTGATCTCACTTCATCCTCAGGTGACTGGGGACGGAAGTTACTGGGGTTCCCTTTGCACACACTGATTTGCTCCCTCTTGTCTAGCTTCCTTTCTGTCCGAGACTTGAGCATTTAGTTTCCCAGATGTCTAGTGACCATAAGTTGCAAGGAGCAGAAATCCACTCAAGTTGGTTCAAGTAAAGGGAATGAGAAATGTGATGTATCTGTGGTTAATGAGAACTGGGGTTGGCATCAGGGATGCTGCCGGGAACTGGGGCAGCTGTTCCTCCTCTCTTTGGGCCTGTGTGGGCTCTAGACTCTGCCATCCGGGCATCTGCTCCTTCCTCTTGGTCGACCAGCCCTCTCTCACTCTGGTTCTTGCTCTCACAACTTTGGTTCGCTTGAGCAGCTGTGACTCTGACTCCAGCCGAAACTCCAGACAACCCTGCAGAGACATTGGTGTCTCTGTTTCTTAGGTCCAGTTTAAAGAGAGGCAATCTGATGGGTTAGTAACCATCCCTTGGATCAGCTGACCTTGAGTGGTGGCCACCCCTGTGACAGGTGGATGGGGTGCTCTGTGTGGTGTAAATATGACAACCCAGGTCAAAATAAGAATGAGCGTGTGATCCAGTGAAGGATCCGGAACAAGTCTATTGATTTTTACTTTTAATTTTATTTATTTATTTATTTACTTACTTATTTACTTATTTATTTAAATTGAGAAAGTGTCAGTTTACAATGTTCTATTTCTCATGTACAGCATGCTTCAGTCATGTATACACGTACATATATTTATTTTCATATTCATGTGGTTACCGGAGGGGAAAGGGGGTGGGAAGGGATAAACTGAGAGTTCGAGATTCGCAGATACTAATTACTATATATAGAATAGAAGTATAAGTTTCTTCTGTCCTGCACAGGAAACAATATTGATCTTAAACCATTCTGTGCTGTGGTGGCGTTTATTTACTCAGAGTCTGAGCACCACAGCTTTCCCCTGACTGCACTTCTGTCGCAGAATTCAGCTGTACCATCTTTCAGTTGCCGTCAACCCTTCCCTCTCCAGCTGTTTTCAACTTTGATCATCTCCTAGTTGTGATACTCTGCTTATACTAAATAGGCTCCTTCCTTCCAGGCATTTGGTGAGTTGATTTGTGGAGGGGCCCCTTCCCTCTACAACACACACCCCTGTTTCACTTGACAGCGGAGGCCTTCTCTGCAGTCGGAACCTTCCATCCCGATCACAGGGCTGAACGGCCATTCCCTGAGGAAGATCCTGGGTCCGACAGGGATGGCTTCCTAAAGCAAGGGCTGCCGCCCGCTTCCCAGCTTCAGGGCCTCAAGCATTTTTTGCAACAGGTAAAAGAGGGCCCACCTGTGCCACCTGGTTATCTCCACCCCTTCCTCATTTCCTCTTTCTGCTCTGGGAGTCCTGCACTGTGGCTTCGTCCACC